GTCTACCCAAAAATCTGCACACAGATGTTTATAGCAGCTTTATTAATAATTGCCAAAATTTGGAAGCAGCCAAGATGTCTTTTGTTGGGTGAGTGGATAAATAAACAATGGTATATCCAGACAATGGAGTATTATTCAGCACTAAAAAGAAATGAAAAGACATGGAGAAACCTTAAATGCATATTACTGAGTGAAAGAAACCAATCTGAAAAAGATACATACTGTGTGATTCCAGCTGCATGACATTCTCAAAAAGGCAAAAATATGGAGACAATAAAAATAAGATCAGTGGTTGCTGGGGAGTGGGTGGCGTGGGATATACTGGCAGAGTAGAGAGGGCTTTTTAATTTTTAGGGCAGTGAAAATACTCTGTATAATGAATATATATCATTAAACTTTTGTTGCCTTTTGGGGGTGGGGGTACATATGTGTGGGCATAGAGGTATATGGGAATCTCTGTACCTTTGTTTCAATTTTGTTGTAAACCTAAAACTGCTCTTTAAAAAGTCTTTAAAATATATGTATATCGCTCAATGTGGAATTTTGCAGTAAATACCAATCTACTATAAATTGGCCAGTACTGTCTTTATCTAATTATCACTTTATCTGTCAGTGCTTGGTTGATACATCCAAAATTATGTACTTGGATTTTTTTGTTGTTGCTTAGTTTTATGCAAGCCTGTGAATAGTTTAACCTTATTCTTAGGGAAATTTGACAGTGAACTAAACTTTTTTACTGAAAAAAACTCACTGTAATTTTTATTGTCAAAAATAATTAATTTTCATCTATGAAAAATGCCTTTAATTTTTCTTTTGGTCTAGCTCCATAAATACATGATGTCAAGTATTTTATGAGTGTTTCTCTAGCAGAGGACACAGATATTTGTCAAAGAAGGAATAAATTAAAATAGAATTAAAGAGGACTTAAGATAAATTGTCAAGGGAATCGGCATTTTGGCATTGCAGATAACTTTAGGTAACACACATTTATTGATTGGGGCAAAGTTTAGTTTTATAGAGATTTAATTTCCCAAATCATAACAGATTTAAAGTAGCTCTTCAAAACTAAAAATAGGTTAGAAATCCAAGAATTTTCAGGCCAATTTATAAAATCTTAAAAATTCAAAAGGTTAATAAGTGTTTCTTTATCAAAAATCTGGTAATTAGGAAAGGTATCTAATTAATTGTGAATATCATATTATACTTTTATTTAAAGTCATTTTTTCATATAATCTGTGTCAGATGTCATTTTGACTAACCATAGCTCTTACTCTGCAGGATTATATAAGAAAACTGGTAAATTGGTATTTCTTGGATTGGATAATGCAGGAAAAACAACATTACTACACATGTTAAAAGATGACAGACTTGGACAGCATGTCCCGACGCTACATCCCAGTAAGTCTGTTCTCCCATGCAGTGTATTACTTGATCAGGTGATATCGATTCATAGGCTCTAACCAAAAGGTTTTGTTTGTTTTTTTGGTGGATAAATTATGGTTAGGTCATTTGACCTCTTCTCAAAATACTATAGTAAATAATAGGTGACCCAACTCCCAGGGAGTATATTTAGATCTTGATATAATACTCATATTTTGTTATCAGTTAATAAACCCTTGTCCAGTTAGAGGAATTAAAAAATTATTATCTCAGGAATTATGATATGATTGGGGTCTATTCAACCACATAATGCTTGGGTTATAAATAGTCTATTACCATTACCTTGTTACATAATTTAAATATCTTTCACATTTTAGACCTGTACTATTTTAATCACTATTCAGTGACAGACCATAGTCTTATACTTTGCTGGTAGCTCTCAACTTATTAACTAGTTATTTTTCTAGTCTTTACAACCTCAACTATATCTAATATAAAGGCCATAGAATTATCCCCCCAAAACAGGGCATGTATTGATACACTAATAGAAAATTTTAAAACAATTTAAAACATTTACTCTGCTTTCTTTTAAAAAGACTACCTGAAAGACATTAATAATGACTCTATAAATCACTAAGTATGTATCCTCCTGTATATAAGATGATGTAATAGGTACTGTTTGAGAAAGTAAAGTGACAAAATTATTAGAAACAGAGGCCTAACTTTAAAATA